TGATTGGTTATTCAATAATGCTGAAGGATTTCTCCGGAACATTTCTCGATTGCTGAAATTGCTAGAAATTGCAACAGGCCACAGAGGGAGCGGAACGGGGGAGGGAAAGAGATCGAAAGAGGTCGGAGGCGGCAAGCAAAAGGTCCGGTCGTACCGCAATCCGCTCAGGAATAGCAATTTAGATTTTTGAGCACCAAAAAAGAAATTTTCTTGCTCTTCATCAAGGACGTTCTGCTGTAATCTCGAAAGCAAAAGCAAAACAAAAGTTGCCTTCAACGTGATGGAATAGGTTTGGTACAGGGAAAGTCGGTAACGATGATCGCTCCTATTTTACGGAGTAGCCTAAACAAGTGTAGAGCGGGATCCGATCCCAGCGGCCATGCGCTCGACAGTGTTTCCTTTGCTCTTTAGTTCTATTCCGCCATCACCGGAGTCTTTGAAGTACCCCTTGATGCGGACTTGACTACTTGTTGGAGGATTTGCTTGAAGATTGGCAGCTAGTGAAATTTGAGTAGAGGCAATTCGGACGCCGAGCTGTCTAAAAGTGATTCGTTGAAGAGAAAGAAAGGAAAGAATGCGTAGATACTCTGCAAAACCGTTTGATATCAGCTGACTCTGAGAAATGCACAGGACTCGCTCTAGTCGCTCGGAAAAACAGTTTGAAAAAACGGTGAGAACGCAAGTTTTTCGCTTTGGTCAAGATCAGTCAATGTTCTATATTCCGAGGAGAACTATCTACCACCAGGCTAATCTCGTTGAGCACTAGAAACGATACATTTAGATTCAAACGAAATAGAGCTCTAGAATGGGTTAGGGAGCTGCGTCCGTGAGACTCTACCAGATCAAGGGACTTATACAGCAAAGGCATGCCACCAGTGCTCTCTAAAGGAAAATTTCTAAGTGTTGTTGGCCTACGGAGTGTACCATGGACTATGACTTCCTCACATTAAATAATTCCGATGATCTTAGTTAATGGTGGGCCATGCCCCTACAGAAATAGGGACAGTAATGTTGTATAGACGTTGATCACTAGGAACAGACATCAACAGAAAATTGCACCCCACCCAAAGGGCATTAGCACTTTAATTGGATTTACTTCTGCACGAGAATGAACGTTTTCCCTTGCACTGACAGGGAGCAGTTTGGATGCATGGAAACGTTCATTTGAAATGGTGAATATGGAGGTAAGGGTAATGCTAGGCAATCTAATGCATCCTTCATCAGCAGATTACCCGGGGAGTTCAGTCATTTTGAAATCTAGTTCTCCATTACCTATGCTGGTCATAACCCTGGCCTCGAACCGAAGTCTAGTAGTTCTAAACAGTGACTATCCTCTGACCCCTACCCCAGTGTCAAGGCGTGGACCAAAGAGGATGTCTATACGATATCCAATGGCACTTGAAAGAAGAAATCAATCGAACACTTCATTCTCAACCTAACCTTGCTGTAACAGATAAGTTAAAGATTGTTGAAAAGTACTAAGAAAGGACAAATTATGACGGTACTGTACTATGCACTTGTCGGACAGGTGGACGAATGAATTTCTTCAAGGTAACAGGATTGAGTAAGAATTGCAGTATGACAGAGTGGCAGTATGAGATGAGATGAGTAAAGGTTTCGTTGTATGTCATCGTTACTGTAATTACCGTATCACAAAAGGCACGAGCTCACTGCTGCCTACCTTCAGCTTCCGTGTAAAAAAGCGCCGAATTCCGTTCGTGCAGACAGAAAACGAAAACACAGTTTGGATGAAGTTGGAAGGTAACCAAGAATGTTGACTGTGGGAGTACATCAGCTGGCCCCCTTCGTTCAGTGCATGAGTCAACACCCTTCCGAATGTTACGGTACAGGGAGTAAATGACGTATACTAGAACAGAAACAATGGACACTCACCCCCGCCTTAGTTTCCACTTACTAGGACTTCTTCAGAACTAAATTTCGTGTTGGCAGTGGCTTGGCGAAATCGACTTTTCAACGATTTTGAAATTTCGACGAGTGAATTATTTCTGACGCTCTACTATTTCTAAGTAAGTAAGCCGCTACTCGAGAAGGAAAAACTTCGAGCTCGAGCGCCTGACATCCTCGCTAAAATCATCTTAAAAGCCAGGCATGGCCTATAAAGAAGCAATTTGCTTCTGAATTTTAATGTTTTGAGACAATTGCAGAACACCCACAACCTTTCTGACCCAGCTCGCGACCATTCAAGGCAGACAAGTAATTTTGAAACAAGGAAATTGACGCCGTTCGTACCTGCTTGTAGACTGTGCTTTGTAAACGGCATCTTCTGAATGATATGACTGTCGAAAAACGGATAGCATTACTAGCAACAGGAAGAAACTCGGCATTAAGAAGATGATAAATCTAAAGTTTCAAGTCTTGGAGCCTTACTCAGTCCCGTCTGAGGGATGCGCCCACGCATTCGACTTCCATTCAGTATCGTAGGGGCGTATTGAATGCGTGTGTGGCCCGTACAATGACTTGCGGTGGCCAGCCAGACAAGTCAGTGCTGTTATCCTCCCACACGAGTCTGGTACCAATGAACCGACCCGGGAGGGATGGAAGGCCTGATTGGCCTAGGCGGATATCGATCCGAGATTCGAACCCGTGACCATGCCTGTGTGATGTGTGCCACTTGCCGCTTCACCACCTAGCTGTCCGAATGCGCGTGCCATTATGCACAGCTGGCTACAGTAAGCTCCCTACGTGCAATATGTGCGCCGCGTTGCGAACGGTGCAATTTCTACAGCCTCTACATTGCCGTGAGAACACGTCCGCTTGTGCTGTGCGTTTCTTGTGCTATTCTGGGAGGTCGCACATTCATTCCAAATACCTCAATCGTTTAATCACGAACCATTTACATTTTGAATTGCTCCAGTGTGAATTATGTCTGGGAGGGGGCATATCGCGATGAAAACATATGGAGATTTTGCATAGGACATAATCTATGACTCCTTGGAGGACCTCACGAGGCATTTTCGGGTTAAAAAACCCACCTAGGGCACAGTAAAGGCTGAAATACCGCTCCCGATACCCACCATTGCTTTTTGTCTAGATAAAGATGTGCAGCTTGGTTAAGGCTTCATCTGGAGGTAATGAACCTAGAGACCAATATTTATGTGGGAGTAGATAAACATGACGGACGCTAAGGCGTTACCCAATGAAGCTCCATAAAAACCAATCATGGATTTTAATCAGAGTAATAGGACAAATGTGATATTATAATAATATGACTGAGGTGCCGATGCGGATGAAATGAGATGCACTCCGGCGAACATATGCCCATTGATGGAGCGGTGATGAAGCACCCCTCGAGAGCCAATTCCAAAACTGAAAATAGCCGACGGAATATGAATGAATTGGCCCATCACATGCGTTTTTCAGAGTTCATTCTGACACATCGATGCTCAACTGCCACGGAAAAAATCCAACAAGAACTCCTCGGTGAAGAATAAATTCCGCTTAACTAGAGACTAGAGAGTCAAAAACGATGTTTCAAGAGAATGCGGTGGGCTTCGAGAATTTCCATTGAAGAGTGTTGGATTCCTACCTTGAATTGGCACTAACCGATAAATCACGCATACAAAGTTTGAGAGCTCTCTCTATATNTACGTAGGAGTAAGCACAGGGTTTGAAAAGCATTTCTCTCTGGAATACTGCCCAATCTGTTCAATGGCCCTTATGCATCCTCACCAGGTGACAAACGGCCCGCGCTTTTCCGAATGAAATATCTCCCGGTAGAAATAGGAGAGCGCATGCAAAATACATATTACATAAGAATTATCGAAGTCATCTCGAAAAATATGGCCGCAAAGATAAGGTTGGAATTGACGCCAGCTAGCGGTTCCATTCGGTTCCACTTTGGAAAGTGCTGCTACAGTAAAACTTGGGCTAGTGGAAATATAGTATGCTTCTTTAGCTGGCCACTTTGATGCGCTCCATAAGTGATTCTCCATGAAACCAAAAAGCAGTTAGCTTTTTGATGCGTATGCAACATTTCCACAGTGGCAGTTTTGCGATTGCAAAATTCAATTTCCGCATTCTCCCTGGAATATTTCGCTAATGTCTCTAAAAGAAATGCTTCATCACGTTAATTCAAGCAATTTTCCTTGCCTTTCACCACCATTTTGCGTTTTTATGCTAAGCATTTTCATCATCCTGAATTGTCCTCATTCTCAGCATAGCAAGAGGGGCCCTCCAACAGCCCATTTCCTATTTGAGGGCTGGAATCAATGGCAGGAAACGCATTGCACCGAATTTCAGTTTCCGTTTGAGGACACAGGTGTAGGCATAGCACTATTACCCTGAGGGTAAAAAAGAGGTAGAGAGCCTTTAGGTCAAGACCAATCTTTTTTTAATGATAGCCCCCTCCCCCGACAATACTAACGGCTGTTGAAGGCATATGCTCCCTAAACAATGATCTGCGGTGACAGGGGATGTGAAGTGAAAGCTTTTATCCCCGAAACAATTCTGGTTCCAGTTAACTAATCCAGAAAGGTGGAAGCCTGGTTACCGAGGCGGGTAACAATCTGTGTCCATTTTCGGGACCGTGCATAGTGGACCTACTGGCACAGCTTCGTCAGGGACATATTCCAGGGTCAGGCAAATGAAAAGTGGAGGAAAAGTGGAGCCACATGCTAGTTGAAGAGATACTTGAAAAGCGTGAGAAAATGACATCACATAAAGAATCAAGCATTACTTTCGTCAGCGGAAAGATCTACTCATAGTCGCCAGTACTCAGGTATTGTACCTCGATAACTTGCTCAAGCTACATGACTTTTCGTTAGTCAGGACTTTATTGTAAGTTGTAGGTAATCAGTATGACGCTTCATCGGAAAAGTGGAGCTAGTAGTGGCTCTTCGTCATCTTCCAGAAGGTTGACATCATCTGGTGACTTCTTCGGTTTCTTTTCTTTGCTGCGTCGCCAGTCGCCGACCACTCCCCACATATCGAACACCAGCTCTTCAGGGAAATCGAAGACCGATAANTTGTAGGTAATCAGTATGACGCTTCATCGGAAAAGTGGTGCTAGTAGTGGCTCTTCGTCATCTTCCAGAAGGTTGACATCATCTAAAGATTTCTTCGGTTTCTTTTCTTTGCTGCGTCGCCAGTCGCCGACCACTCCCCACATATCGAACACCAGCTCTTCAGGGAAATCGAAGACCGATAACTCCGACTGAAATAAGCTCAACTAGAATCTGACAGTTGCTGAATCGACTTTTAAACCTGCATATTTGCAAGCATCCCGGAAAAAATCGGCTGGCCAGTACACTTCTGAATGTACCTCTCGAACAGCTTTGTTCATCTGAGGAAGTGTTTTACATGTCATAGCCATATCCCATAGGGACTGAGCCAACTGATCGTCTTGCACCCCAAGATATGAGTCGAGTATATCGTTCAAGCGGCCGATCATCTTTTTGTCGACAGAACCCTGAAATGTTGGCGGACACTTAGAAGGGTACCGGAGGCAGAAATACCGAAACAATCTCACCTCTTGTATAACCACACCACCGTTAGCCTTAAATCGAAGGGTGCCCATTCCTTCGTTAATGGACTGCTTATGCGTCATAAGTGAACGTGGCGCAATCTTTTGGAAGCCTGACTGCTTGGGAGAAACCACACGCAAGGTGAATCTGAAATAAATTTTCTGTTGAATCACTTCAAAATTAATTAGCTGTGATCTGGCATGTATCGGAGGCGTTCATATTGGTTCGGGAACAGAGAAATGGGATTGGAAGAGCAGGATTTTGAGCCGTGTATGGAAGATATTTCAAAGGCTTGTTAGAGAAATGTTTCAACGAAGGGACTCGACATCTAAGGGCATAAGACTTTGTACATCCCAAAAAATCCCGATTCGGACTTGTGGTTACGATTGGCTCGCAAGCAAGACGAAAACCAGACTATTCTACTTACGTTTTTCCAATTGGCATATTTCTGAGTATGCGAACCACCTCATAATGCCGCATACCAGTCACATTAACGTCATCAATCTTCTCAATCAACTGGCCGATAGCGAGAGCCGGCTGAGCACGAGCTGCAAAGATCATTTTTCAGAGAGTGGGGAAGGGGGGGGGGGGTGAGGAGAAGGGGATATGTACTGAAATAAATCCGAGTTATTCCGGTTTGAGTATCTAATGCAGGATTATGTGTTCCAAATTATTGAAGTATTGAAGTAAATGATAGCATAAAGT